TCGCTTGAACCCAGGAGGTGGAGGTTGCCATGAGCTGAGATCGTGCCACTTCACTCGAGTCTTGGCGACAGAGTAAGACTCCATCTCAAAAAAAAAAAAATAAATGAATGAATAAAAATGAAGAATAGTATTGGCTGAGCATGGTGGCTCATGCCTGTAATCCCAGCACTTTGGGAGGCTGAAGCAGGAGGACTGCTTTGAGCCCTGGAGTTTGAGACCCAGCCTGGGCAACAAAGTCAGACCCTGACTCTTTCTTTCTTTTTTTTCTTAAAATGGGGTTTTGCCATGTTGCCCAGGCTGGTCTCAAACTCCTGAGCTCAGGCAATCCACCCACCTCGACCTCCCAAAGTGTTAGGATTACAGGCATGAGCCACTGTGCCCAGCTGAGACCCTGTCGCTACAAAACAAAACCCCAAAGCAACAACAGTATTATTATTATTACTAATTCTGCTAATAACGTAAGAACAAGCTTAGCTCCCATTCACCTTTCACAGAAAGTTACTTGAAGATGTACCACAACATCAAGCATAAACTAGAAACAAAATTATGGGTGCAAGAGATAGTAAAATTAAATCTCAGGACAAAAGTCTTGCTATTGTACTAGAGACTGGAGGAGGTCAATGAGCTTTGGGAGAGTGGTCCTCACAGGGAAAACTTGGAAATCTAAAAATTAGATAGTACAACTGGGATCTTAGAGAATTTGGGAGTATGACAAAGAAAACTAGTAGAATCAAGGAAAGATGTTATCTGGATTTGTCTCTGGCACTGTTCTTAAACAAGGGGCATAGTGTCATGACATCACTACCTTAGAAAAGGAACTGGATCCTAGCAGTCCACGGTTGTAAACATTTACACAGAAATAACTGCTTATTAGTTAATATATTTCATTGATTCTAAGACTTATTTTTTCATATTTTAACATCTCTGAATGGGATTCATCTGACAATCAATGTTGTGTCATGTTTTAATTAGTTATTTTTTCCTTTTAGGTAGTAGATAAAATAATGATGCATCTTACAATGAATAGCATGTTGAATCTGATGAATTGTGTGTGCCAACCACTGCTTGAAATGCTTTATAGTAGACTCTTCCACAATTTTCCTAACAGTTTTATGCAGTTCATGTTACCATCATTTTTGAGGCTCAAAGATGCTAAACAATAGGTTCTAGGACTGCTGTCAAGTAAGTGGCAGAGCCAGAATTGAAAATCAGGTCTGACTTCTAAGGTCATGCTCTTATCATTATCTCAGCACTTACCTTGGGTGATACAAAGGTGAATAAAAATCTAACGTTGTCCTAACAGCTCAAATCAAGGTTTAGCTCATATGTGATCTTTTTGAAACCTTTCCAACTACCCAGGAAGAAAAAATCTTGTTCTCATCTGTACCCCCTCAATATTTTAAAAATACCTCTATAATAATTTATTATATTGTGTAATCTCCCTGGGGCCTTGGAAGTCAGGAATATTCTCTTAACCATCCTTTTGACCCTACCTTACCTACCACTGTTCTTAACATATAGAAGCTCAATAATGTTTCTTAAAAAGGAGACAGGGTCTCTGCTGCTAAATGTAGGAGACAAGAAATGCACATAAAGCTAAAAAAGGTCAAAAGTAGTGTTGAGGAGTTATAAATTTAAGTGCAGTAGAGTTTAAAAGAACTAATGATAGAAAGTACAGGAGGATACAGCTCAGCCAGCTTCCAGGTGTTCATACACACACACACCAGTCTGAAAAAGCTGAAAACGTCTACAATAGCTGAAACCACGCTTCTAAGGCATTTTTGAATTTTAATAAGTTACTAGCATTTATAAATTGAAATTTCACATAAAACCCATGGTATATGGATTTTCCCGAGAAACGAAGACAAATCAAAAACTGGATGCTCATTCTCCTAGAGAAATGGGTTGGATCTAAGTATCAAATTCTCCTTTCAAATGAACTTAATGCTCCCTTATCCATCATACTACCTTCCACCATTTTTTTAGGCTAAGTTTGCATAAGGTAATTTATGTCAGTCTAGGCATCTAGGTTTATGACCCCTTCTCTAAACACATTATTCACTGCTCTATCACACGATGAATTTTCAGGCATCCGTGTCTTTCAACTTCCACTTTGTCTAGAAAATCCTTTGCTTTTTCCAAAAGCACTCCTACTCCTCTAAGGCACTGCTTCAATTCCTTTCATTAGCTGCTTCTGAGCACCCTCTCAACAGTGTCACGCAGCACTGTGGTGTAATACCTCTATTAAAACCCTTATCAGAGAGTATGCACAAGCTTCTCTCCTTCGCGCTGACATTCGCTCCTTGAGGCCAGCGGCCCACAATTAATTCATTTCGCAGAGTCCATGGCCTGGCACCTACATCCAGGCGTTCAGTACTTTTGTGGTTCTTACTTGACAGCAAACACAAGCTGAATTAATATTACGACCACAGAAGTGGAACTGAGGTGGATGCCAAGACTATCCCAATAACTGGATTCTGGCCGAGAAAAAGACGCGCGCCAGCATCCCAATCGGCAAAAACTATCCGGCAAGTTAGTCCCCGCCACGCTCCTGCTCCGGGGCTCAAATTCCAATTCTCGCGAGATTCGGTCTGAGAACTAGCCCTTCAGCTCCAGTGATTTGCGGGTTGGTTTCCTCTAGATTCTCTTGGTCGAACATTTTTCCGACACGAGCCTTTCCGGGGCTATGCCCCGGAAGGGGAAGTGCGATCTTCGGGCTGTCAGAGTTGGTGTGTTACTCGGGTGGTGGCGGAGTCTACGGAAGCCGTTTTCCCTTCACTTTTCCTGGCTCTAGAGCGCTTTCCACCTGGCGGGTGGGAGTGCAGGGACGAAGGTGCGAGATGAGCACCATGTTCGCGGACACTCTCCTCATCGTATTTATCTCTGTGTGCACGGCTCTGCTCGCCGAGGGTGAGAGCGGCTATTTCTCAGACGTTTGATCAGTCCCCGGGAGGAAGGGCCCCGGGGTCTCTAGCGCCACCGGGGAAAGATCGCGAGCCTTACTTGCTTGGGAGGCTCATATACTCCACTCCAGGGAATCTCTGCGCAACTCGTGAACGGGGAGCAGGAGGGGAATATGGAGTCGATTGATGAGTTTTCTTTGGTCTTAGGTAGATTTCACTTGCTTATTTGTAACATGATGTAACACCTTCACATCATGTTACAGTTGTTTTGGCTTAAGAGTCAATTGTATTGGCCTTTGAAAAAAGTTAACTACGGGTAAATACAAAGTGAAAAGCTGGAATTCCTCTTTCTCCAACAGTAACCGCTGATAATAGGTTGTTGTGATCGTTCCAGTCATTTATTAACATGTTGCTTTTAATGTTTTAGGCATAACCTGGGTCCTGGTTTACAGGACAGACAAGTACAAGAGACTGAAGGCAGAAGTGGAAAAACAAAGTAAAAAATGTGAGTATGGCAAGACATTAGAAATAGTTTCAACACGTCAAGCTCATTAAGTCCATGTTCACAGTAAATATTTTAAGAGCACCAACTGATACAGAGATGAATCTGACTTGAATCCTATTTAGAAATAGAAGACTTTTATGCAAAATATGTAATACCAACTAGAGGGAAGTGAGGGATGTGGCAGATATATGTTATCTGCTGTGGTGGTTCTACAGAAGAGGGTCGGCCTGGCGCAGTGGCTTACTCCTGTAATCCCAGCACTTTGGAAAGCTGAGGCAGGATTGAGCCTAGGCGTTTAAGACCAGCCTGGGCTACATAGGGAGACCTTGTCTCTACAAAAAAATTGAGCTGAGTATAGTGGTACACACCTATAGTCCCAGCTATTTGGGAGACTGAGGCATAAGGATCCCTTGAGCCCAGAAGGTTGAGGCCACAGTGGGCCATGATGGTGTCACTACACTGCCTCCTCCGCAACAGAGTGAGGCTTGTCTTTAAAAAAAACAGAAGAGGTTTCATTCAGTTGCGAGGAACCATGGTAACCTTCATAATCCTGATGGCCTTGCAGTTCCTTGTGGATATTCACAATTTGGATAGAGAATGAAATGGGGAAAGGAAATTCCAGGTAAAGGAAATAACATATGAGCAAAAATATGGAAATCTTAATATTTCAGGCATGTTTGGAGGATGATAGGTCATTATGACTGGTGTCAAGGTTAGCAGTGTCTTCAGAGATAAGCCAAGTTTCAGTTGGGTTAGGAAGTTGTAGAGGTGTTTGAGGAGAATATTAAAAGCAAGCAGGGTTTGTGACCTTTGAAATAAAGCAGGAATTTCACAGGACTCAGCTAAGGGTATAGTGTGAATGGTTTCTTACAGGCCTGATTTAGCTTCTCTGTTCTTTTCTTCCTTTATAAGGATTAAATATAACTTTTGTTTCTTAGGATTCCTACAACTTTCTGTATTCTGTGACTTTTTCTTACATCTTCATAAGGATTTGAAGTTTGTTTCCTAAATTACCACATTTGATCCACACAGCAACCATTTGTGGTCACTCGTATAAATATTACCTCCATGTCATAGGAAGGAAAATTGAACCTCAGGATGGTAATGACAACTTATGTCACAGAGCAAACAAAGAATCAGAGATGAGACTTTTTTAAAATTACAGCTTACTGTTCCTTCATTTACTCAGTGTTGATTATGTATCTCAACATATTTGAGTCAAACTTGTTATCTTTACCTTCACAAACATGATCCTTTTCCAGGATTTCCCTATCTTGGTGATGGGTACCTCCATGCTTCCATGTATAAGCCAGAAACCTTGATATACTTTCTTAATTTGACTTCTAGGACACCATACTCTCGGTTTTGCTGCTCTTTATCTTACTGGTCATCACTTTTTAAATTTTTTACTTTTTAATTTAATTTTTTTTTTTTTTTTTGAG